GGGAAGGTGACAACACTTCACACAAGTGTTTTCATGTTAGAAAGTGTCACAACAGGAAGACAGTGTGCAACAGCATCAGTTTCCAATTAAAGTGCACAGAGTTAATATAGATGTTATCTGTGATGTGAACAAATTAATGTCACAACACTAATTATAAACTTGCAATGCAAACTAACAAAAACATTTCCCAAATGTTCAAACTCAACTGTAGATAATAACCTGAATCTGAGCGTTCAAATGTTACTGAACCATCAATAAAGAATAAAGTGGATGACACTACATCATCGGTGCAACAAAACTAATATTTAGGAACATTACAGGCATTTTTATCAAGTTTTAAAAAGGATTCAGAGTATAACACTGTGATTGAAGACTAGGATAAATCTAATTTAAGAGTACAATTGTTAACAGTTGCATCCTTAATGACAAGATTGAAGTTGACGGCTAACTGAATGCTACAATATTTATACAGTTTATATGTTTGTGAATTTAGGTACTTGTGAACTACAATTGCTTGAACAACAACACTATAATTTCCTACTGAACATAGAATTGTTTCAGACGTTGAGTAATAATTTTCTGTCATTTAAGTATACACACGTTTAAATACTCAGCCTCACAATATTGGCAATCTGTGTATTTTACTAAAAGCGCAGTTAAAATGAAAACTATAAAATTAATTTCATTCAAACCACATGTCTAAGGTTGAATTAAATACTAAAAAAGACAGCTTAAAGAATTGTTTTATGCCTTTGGAAATATATCTTTCATTTGACGAATAATTTCAACTGAATAGCCTGTGTATTTTCAAAGCCAGATATCTGAATTCATACACAGTATTTAGAAGACAGTTTTAACCAGCAGGGCCTGACTGTTAGTCTGCGTGCGGCCAATGTCAAAGTTTTAGCTAACGTTAGCTTTGCTTGCCTTGCATGTTTAAGGTAATTGTATTCGGATTTTAGAAATACGCGTTTCGGTTTGCATAAACATAATTACTTGTTGAAACCGCTGTCTCGCAAGTTTGAGAATGATTTTAAGTGATTACGTGAAGTTAGCATTACTGTGTCATGGTTAGCCGTGTTAGCACAATTAGCTTTCAGAGTTAGCATACCGGTAGCGCAGCTACTTCCTGTTTGAAACAGCGCGGAGGCCTGTGCTGCCTTCAGGGACCATGGCCAAGCTTAAAAATTGAAAACACAAGGTAAAGTTTTAGGTTAAAGAAATTTGATTTTTTTAAACAACCGTTGGAACACATACATCTCTTGACGTCGTTTAAAATACTAGTATTACAGAGTAATAAACGCAGTATAAGGGGTTACACGTTTAATTGAGGAAATAACATTAAGACCACATAACGTCTCATTTAATTTCCCCACCTTAGTAAGAAGCATATTTTGTTTTTGTTCCACCCGTATACATTTCTCGAAGGAGCCCTGTCCTACCTACAGATACCACGAGATACCTCAAAGTGTCAAAATAAAAGGCAAGCAGCTTAATTTCAAGGCGTGTTGCCTCTATATTTCAATTAGAAAATTAAATGTCTGGTTTATCATTAAGTTTCCGTATTGCACGTTCCGCTAACTTTACATAAATACATAATGTTTTAGAAAACTAAGTGTCCTGTCATATTTGAGTACAGTTTCCCTAAGTCCGACATTTCNNCATCCTTAAATCTCTCACATGGTGCCTTGTGTGAAACCTTCCTTTGCTCCTTGTGTTTTTTATGTAGTTGGTGCTAAATTATTTCAATCATTTTAACATCTGGTTTATGATTTTGTTTCCACAGGATTGTTGTTTAACCATGAATATCGAGGTTATAACAACCCGAAACATAACAGGAAGTAACTGCACCATTGCACAGGCGCAAAACAAATTAGCCGGTTAGCTTAGATACGGTTAGCTTAGCTTAGGCTAGGTTAGCAATCCCTTACCCAGTTTAGCCTATCCAAATTTGTGATAAAATAACGAAATTCTCCGTTCAAGTGTGGATTACATCACCCGCTAATCGCATTATATTTTCTCTGCGTGCACAAGCGTGTGTGTGGATCAAATGTGGACAACAGTCCCTACCTGCCATGATGAGACACACAGTGGAGCCTCTCCTCTCTTCACTCACACAGTCACGATCCTGATCCTAGTCCTTGTCTTGCTTCTGATCCTGGTCCTGATCCAAATCCCACGCCCACGCGATAACTCCTGGGATCTGAACTTTTTCTTTAGAATCCTTCTGCTGAATGTCTGCAAACCTGCAGGAAGACGCGCTGTATTACTGCACGGCCGGTTTTATTCTCTCCTTTCCTCCCTCTCGTCTCACAGTCACTCCTTACTCCTCCCTCCCTTCCTCACTCCCCCTCCTTCTCCACTTACTCAAACTGTGGAAGTGCACTAAAGGGTGTATTTAGGCGGGCCCACAACGGAGCGTGTACATAACAATGCCCGTGCACTTAAAAAGACAAAAACAATTCTGTTTAAATTCTCGTTTACTAGGTTTATATATTACTCTTTAGTCTGACATGCATTATTAAAAAATATGGTAAATTTTAAGCAGTGAGATACCAAACTTTACAAAGGAAGCTATGGTATATTAAACAATGATAGGGTGTTTCTTTACAGTGGCATGATAGTTGATGTCAAAATGCATGATAAAATATGAAATCTCTGTTGAATTGTCTCAACTCTGTGTGCCATGTATCTCTTTGTATTGTTACAAATGTGTACACATGTACAGTACTCATCACTAAATTTCCTTATGATTTACTGGCTTGGACATGGCTGGCTTGAACTCGGCCAACAGCACTGGTTCATTTTCATCTGTAGACCAGTAATGGGCCTATGTCCATTCTGTTCTGATTTTTGTCTCTGTGAGCTAACAGCTAGGCTGTGGTGGCTTAGTGGTTAAGGAAGCAGACTTGGGTCAGGAAAGCTTCAGGTTCGAGTCCACCGGCTGCCAAGTTACCACTGAGGTGCTCTGAGCATGGCACCTGTGCCCACTGTTCACTTTGGTGATGGGTTAAAAACAGAGGTCACATTTGGTTGTGTTCAGTGGTGAGCTGTGTCACAATGACAAGGAGTTCACCTTCCTCCTTCCTACGCCTCCTTCTCTCAGGATGGCTGCTTATTAATGTCAGGTTTTAACGCATCTGGAGAAAATGACAGCTTCCTGTTATGGACCAGGACCACTGAAAAGGAATAACCATGTGTCTGAATAAGTGGATTTAAGGCCTCATGGACAAAATGTAGTGTAGTGTGTGCTTATTTGTATTCATAAGTTTTGTATGTCTGTTTCCGTGGCCCAGTCTCTAATAAAATAAAATTTGAATCACATTGGGACCTTTTGGCAAATTAAATGTAAGAATTAATTTATAAAAGGATTAAAATAATGAGGTAGGATACATATGTTAAGAACCCATACTGCAAGGAGGTATAAAATTATTATCATTAGATTCAATGAGCACAGATACCACACTGAACAAAAAGAAAATGACAAAACCTAATGAACCTTATCTAAAACTCTATCCTTGTTTCCTTTGTTTTGCTGCAGCCTTTACCCAATATCTCCACATGACCTAAAGGGGGCCCAACCCATACCGTTTGTTGAGAACCAGTGTTCTGTGTGATGTGATGGGACACTACTTTTGACTACAGGTCTATAGAGCAGATACAAAAGAAGAGAATGCATCAAGAAATTTCTATGATCGATGCTAAGACATAAGACCAGAGGTGACAGCAGACCTGTATCACAGGGGTCCAACACCCCCCTGTGTGATTCTCCGCCCATGGAGGTCATGCACATCTGACCTTCAGGTGTTTGATGCTCCTCATGGTTTAGGAAACATTCAACCTGGTGTTTTCTAGCAGTAAGTTAACATTCAAGTTCATGACTTGATACCACCTTTGACAGTTGTAACATCAGAGCTGCTTCCTTAAAAAATAGCAACGCCAAAAAAAGCTGAAAAGGAGCAGAACAAGACTTTACGGTACTTTGGTGGCTTTGATGCCTTTAGATAAACTGTTGAGGAGGAATATAACGGTGTCTCCAAATACAATTGTTTGATCAAGTCAACACTTTGAAACTAATGGGGATTTTTTCAGCACAATAAGGTCACAAAAGTATGTCTTAATTAACTAAAGAGAGAGGTTGTGTGTGTGTGTTTGTGTTCAACTGTGCACTGAAGATTTTTGTCCAATAAAACACACGTGAAAAAATATTCAAGTTTAGATTTGTGGATTTTGTTAAGTTCAATGTTTTAGATTGATTTCTAAATGAGTTAATGTTCAATAGAAATTCAATTAGTTTGTTAAAGTAAAGTCTTGGCAGTTAGTCTGATGAACAAATGTTTAAAATAAGTTGACAAACTATGTTTTTAATACATGTTCATTTTTAATTACATGATCATCACCGTTTAGAAAGGGGACCAATTTACAGGAAGCTGGACCTGTTAAATCAGCTTTTGTCCAACAGAGGGCGACCTTGGATTTGATTTGTTCTACTTCTATGTACACGAGCACCGAAACCCCAGTCATAGATTTATGAGTCAGTTCTTTGAATACGGGTTACATGCTGTAAAATATCACCAATCATCAAATTAATAATGTAGTAAAAAAAAAAACAACAACAATGAGGGCAAAAACAACACAGGAGTAGCAATTAACACGGCAAAATAAAAAGTGCCTTTTATAAATGTTGTACGTCTGTGGATGGCGATGTCACATTAAAAACAGGATGTGACCGGAGGCGGAGGGTTTTGTTCGATTTGTTGTAGTTTTCTTAAATAAAAAATATGTTTACATGCATAGATAATGTGATTTCAAATTTTATTTAAATAAGGCAACTGGATATCACTGCTAGTCAGATCACAGACCAAAGTCCATAGAGAAAATCAGCGATTTTAGCTCACAGAGCCACATACGCTATCGGTCCTCTGCTTCTTGGCCTTGTGCAAAAAAGTGGGATATAAACCGCACTATACGTACAGTAAACCTTTTAAACTTAGAGTTTTTCATGCCTGGGCCCATCTTGCCCCCTGCGGGCGGTTCAGGTATGAGTAGCAGCAGCAGAAGCAGGAGTTGAAGGAGGAGGAGGGTCATAACGGGGAGTGTCTGATCTCCACAGATCTACAGCCTGGACCCAGTCTCTGCTGCTGCTCTCTCGACACAAACCTAGACGACCTCTCTGCTGCAGATCCACAGACTCTTTCTGCTCCGCGAACTCCAAAAGAGGACCCACAGACCAGGTAAGACTTAGACCCACTCACAGAGACACACACACAGAGACTGTTAAAGTGAAGCGGCTCGGACTGTAACCCGATGCTGTGAATCAAATCAGGCAGTATCAGGGACCGTTACATGATGATAATTATCGTCACCATCATTTTCACGATCTGAGCTCTTTACTCAACTTCTTAAACATCTGCGTTTAAGAATTTTCCTCACACACTTTTTGTTCTTAAACAGTCGGTTGTTTGGAATAAAACGCAGCCGCTGCCTTATATGGACAGAATCTCTGTAGGTCCACCTTAAATATTTAAGGTGGTTTAGCCTGATGCGAAGTGTTTAAGTTTAAGCAGAGACGAAAATTAATTTTAAAAACTGAAATAAATAAATAAACAAACCCAAACAAAAGTATAAAGGCAGACATCAGTGGTTTATACAGACACAGCAAATGTTTGAGGAAGTCAAAACATCTTGTCTGGGGTCGATGTTATAACTATGCCAATAAAGTTAACAGTTATTTTTATGTGTTATCTATTTATCAAACAAGTGCTTTATGTGTCTCTACCATCAAATGTGTAAAATATAGATTAAAAAACAAGTAACGCTGTCACAAAACACTAATAACTAAAGTACAAAACTGTAATTACACAATATAAAATACATTTTGACAAAAAATGATCTTAAAGTAATGTTAGAAAAAGAAATGATATTATTATAAAACTGAGCTGCTCATGATGAAAAAAAATTGCATCTTGTTGCTAATGTTGCAAAAATGTATGATTGAAAATGTTATTGTTTGAAAAAGAGCCAGTGAGGGAACTGTTAGCTGTTCTAATGCCACAAATGAGGTGTGTGTGTGTGTGTGTGTGAACATATTTGATAGTAACTTTATGAGTTCATATTTAATAAGAAACTCATGTTTGCATTTGGAAGAAAGAGTTCTTATAAATCAGAATCACATGATCACGTCTGCTGCTCAGACGGTGTTGAGGTTGAACACACCCACACGTGTCACTGATCTGTCAGCCAACCACACAACAGCTGTCTGAGCCCCTGCATATTATGGTATGTTCAGTCTTCAGATTCTGATAAGACAACTGTGACAAAGACATGGAAAGAACGCGTCTGTAGGTGTCTGTACAAAACAACAGAAAAATCAGATGAGTTTTCAGGCCACATTTCTAAAAATATTAAAAGGAACGGAACCAAGAAGAACCTGGAACTAAATACATAAAGAAGAAGACGTTGACTTCCTGTTTGGGCAAGAAGAACTCTCCCTAATCCTTTTACGACTCTGTCTCTGCATTACAGTCACCAACTGTCATTTACTTAAACTCAGTGTACACACAATGGGGGGGCGGAGGACAGGTGTTCCTGAGCTAATATTTAGCTTCATGTGCAGCCATTCATCCTCAACATGTCACATGTAGTAATACAACCACCAGTACCACCTTCACCACACCAGTACCACCTTCACCACACCAGTACCACCTTCATCACATCAGTACCAGTCTGAACAAACTCCATCAACACTGCGCTACACTGTCCAGACATTAACATCAAGTACAGTATATAAAGAAGATAATTAAGTTCTTATAAGACAATTAGACTATTTATTAGACAAAGACACTCTGTACAACAAGTAGTACTATAACTGCTACTATAACTGGTCTAGTACCAGCAGGGTCTTTGTGATTCATGTAAATTTCCGTCCTTTGAGCCTCTTTCTTTGTCAGTCCCAGTCTGACTGCAGTGTTTTTCATCATGTAAATGATCTGGTGCCATTTTTATCACATGCATCTCATTTGAATCATGAACAGAGTTGGCATCATTTTTAGGTGGCATACATTTCATGCTTCTGCAACAGTTATGTTGCATAACGTGTATGTGTTTAGTAACATTTGTGTCGTGGTTTTGCAGCTCTGAAACTGCTCAGAAACCATAACGTTCTCACAAACACACGAAGTGCAGTTGTAGCTCTCCAGCAAAATGGGTCTAATTTCATATAAAAGGGGGGAGAGAGAGAGAGAGAGCGAGGGAGAGAGAGGCATGCAGGGAGAAAATGAGTCATCATGAAAAAAAAATCCTCTGTCCTGGGGGTGGAACTCGGGACAGGAATGCTGTCCCAAACCCCAGAATTCCAGATTTTTAGTCAAAATGTTTTCTGCAGACATTAGCAGGAGGACGACTGTTAACGTGAATCAAGTCTCCTGTGCTGGTGGACAGAGTTTCTGTCTCCAGGACTGAAGCGGCGGCAGACAAAGAACGGGGGAGGGGGAGGAATGACTCAGTCTGGAATCACCGACTCCATGTTTAGTTTATTCCTCTGCACTTGTCCACGGAGGCCTCAGGTCATGTGACCTGCTGCTATTTCAGCCTGTGCTGCTGAGGGAGAGCAACGTCCCCACAGCCCTGTTATCTAACGATCTGTGATGAAGAATCAGTGGTTTTATCTCACATGGTCACAGGAGCTGCAGCTCCACCGCTGCCTCCTACAGGAGCTTTGGCTGTATAATAATGATAACAATAACTATTATTAATATTATTTTGGACCACCATTAAAATGATAACACAAACTGACTACTAGAGGAACCAACAGACCAACTGCTGCAGTGCTATAAAACCATTCATTTTCTTTATGGAATTTGGTTTAGGGAAGTGAGAGGTTTATGGACTTCACCTATCAGGATATTTCATTTATAAACATGAACCAAATAAATTCGTATAATCATTAATATTACAACATTATCGATGCCTCTCCAGAGGTTAGAAGTGAATAAAAAATGTTTTCCTTACAACTGAAGCTTTTGTTGCCTCTAGGGACAGTCAGCTTCTTCCAGCTTCTTCAGGATCCTGCTCTTAGATCCCAGCAGCAGCAGCAGCAGGAGTAGCAGCAGCAGCAGCAGCAGGAGCAGCAGCAGCAGCAGCAGCAGGAGTAGCAGCAGCAGCAGCAGCAGAAGTAGCAGCAGTAGCAGTAACTGGGTGTGTCCTATGGTTGGGTGTAGTTAATAAGCGGCTGCAGTAAAGTGAACAAATCAGTGATTTATGACTGAAGGACATGACGTTGGATTTGTCCTCACGAACAACGAAGCTTTGGGGCAGAGTCCCAGTTCATGTCGTGAGAAGTGTTGTCGCCCCCTACAGGGTTGAATACAGTTTTAATAAAATAAACCAATATCATCTACAATGTAGATTCTACATTGTGTTCGATTTCCGCAGCTGTCAGTGTCATCAGTCACTACAGCTGTTTTCTCCTGGAGCAGAAACAGGGAATCGAACCCCCACTTTATTGGTCTCCACTCTGTCCCATTCCTCCCCTCCTCCCCAGGCCTCAGCCTCAGTGTGGCAGATTCCTGCCATGTTTGTGGGCGAAAAGGAGGCGTTTGTTTTTCTGGCATGTGAACAGTTAGTCGTACAAATGGAGCTGCAGCATTCCTGAGGAAAATGTTTGGAAAAATGTTTCCACAGCACGACTCTCAGAGTTCCCTCAGTCAGAGCCACAGGTCTGGTGGAAAACCTGAACACTTTCTTGGACTGGAATATTGATGCAGTGATTATGATTCAGTGATCTGGGTCAAACTGCAGCAGAGAGAAACTTTTTTCCATTTCAGACATGACATGGACATGGTGATCCAGGATTAAATAAATCCAGGATTGTGGGTCAGTTCAGATGGGTTCTGAATGAGAAATCCATAAGATTGATATTGGTGTTGGAAGATACTCCAGAGATGGAGAAACAGCAGCAGCAGCAGAAGGAGTAGACTGTAAAACAAAATCCAGATTTTTCAGTCACTCCATTGAGGCTCATCAAACAGAGACTGGACTCTGGAGAGTTCAATCTCATGCAATGCACATGGGTCAGGTGTAATTACCCAATTACCCGCCTGTTGTGGCCGGGCTGCTCCAGTTGGTCAGAAGAATGAGGTCAGCTGACGTCCTGCCTCCACCGACAGAACATGTTTCCATCAGATGATGTTTTTCCTGGTCCTTCCTGAACAGGAAGAGGAAACCAGGCCTGGATGAGTTCAGTCACCTGACCACTGACATGTCACTGTCCACATGGTGCACCAGTGGGCTGGTGTGGGTTCAAACCTGAGACAGACTCAGCTGTAGATCAAAGACCAGTGTTTCTGGTGTTGTCCTCGTCTGTGGAGGTTACCATGGTGATGGAGATGATGACAATGAGCCTCTTCCTGTTTCCTGTGAAACACCAGTGAGTCATCGGTGGAACATGAATGTTTAAATATAATCATAAACTTTATCTGAGAGCCATGGAAACAACCACAGTAACACACACACACACACACTTTAAAGGGCCATTACAAAGCTTCCTCTTCCACAGCCACTATCTCTAACACTCCCTTGTAGAAAAGGCTGTAAATCTGTTATATGTGTGTGTGTGTGTGTCTCAGCAGCAGCATGGCTCCGTACCACCCAGAGTTCGAGCGGGCTGGACAGCAGCCTGGTCTGCAGGTGTGGAGGGTGGAGAACTTCGAACTGGTTCCTGTTCCTCAGAACCTGTACGGAGGGTTCTACAATGGAGACGCGTACCTGGTTTTGAACACCATCAAACAGCGCGCTGGAGCCCTGCAGTACGACCTGCACTTCTGGCTGGGTGAGAGCGGGGGGCAAGAGGTCAGGGGTTCCCTCCCTGGAGGGAAAAAGGACACATGGATCTTTGATGAAACACACTGATATTGTAGAATGTTTTCATCCTAACTTTGTTGGGTTCTTCTGTGTTTTCGTTGATGTCCTCCTGGTGTTCTGAAGGCGACTCCTGCACTCAGGATGAGAGCGGCTCAGCAGCTATCTTCACCGTCCAGATGGACGACTTCCTGGGAGGAAAACCCATTCAGTACCGTGAGGTCCAGGGTCACGAGTCCAAAACCTTCCTGGGCTACTTCAAGTCTGGAATCAAGTACATGGTAAAACAATAGTCTGATTAATGGATTCACTGGTTCAGAGAATTACACCAAACCTTCTAGAAGGTTCTTCACACACCAGCCAAACAAGTCTGTGGAAAGTCAGGTGAAAACACAGTGTGTAAACAGCTAAGGTAGAAACTGCTGCTGAATGACCCTGTGACCCCGTGACCCCGTGACCCTGCAGCTTTAGAATCAGCCCTGTGTGTTGTTCCAGTAATCAGTACTAAGAGTACTTATCTGATTTTGTCTGATAAAAAACTGAACTTATTTCTGTTTCCCTTTTTTGTTCTGGTTTCTACGTGGTAACTGCTTCTCTTTCACTATCTTCACTTCTGTACATTTATCTAATCTGACAGAATGGAGGCGTGGCCTCTGGGTTCAAACACGTCGTCACCAACGAGGTGGTGGTTCAGCGGCTGCTGCAGGTCAAAGGTCGGCGTTCCGTCAGGGCCACAGAGGTGGCTGTGAGCTGGGACAGTTTCAACCAGGGAGACTGTTTTATCCTGGACCTGGGAGACGTGAGTGTTGCATAACATATATATATATATACATATATATTATATTATATAATATATTTGACTTTCTGTACAATGTAAAATCTTGTCCTACATCTGTATGTGCTGTTCTCCTGCTGCAGGAGATCTTCCAGTGGTGTGGTTCTCAGAGCAACCGCTTCGAGAGGCTGAAGGCCACGCAGGTCTCCAAAGGAATAAGAGACAACGAACGCAGTGGACGAGCGAGAGTCTACGTTTGTGAGGAAGGGGTGGAGAGAGAGAAGATGATTGAGGTGAGAGCACGAGGGAGAGGTGGGCGTGGGGCCTGAGAGGAGACGAGGTGATGGAGGTAAATCAGAGATTAAAGCTTCTTCTTACTGATTCTTTGATGTCAGGTTCTGGGTGAGAAACCAGATCTGCCTCCTGGAGACTCAGACGACCCCAAAGCTGACGCCGCCAACAGGAAGAGAGCCAAACTTTACAAGGTGAGACACGCCCCCATGAGGCCTCTTCACAGGCCATGAAGCTGGTTCCTGGTCATGTTCACAGAGGTCTGTTTCTCCACAGGTGTCCAACGCTGGTGGAGCCATGGCCATCACCCTGGTGGCAGCGGAGAACCCTTTCAGTCAGAGTGCTCTGGAGTCTGGAGACTGCTTCATCCTGGACCACGGCTCTGACGGAAAGATCTTCGTTTGGAAAGGTCAGAATTAAAGTGTTTAGTTAATGTTTCATCATCTTTCTTTGGTTGAGCCACCTGACTCCGCCCATCTCTGCCTCCGACAGGTAAAGACGCCAACATGGATGAGAGGAAGGCTGCGCTGAAGGCTGCTGATGAGTTCATCAAGAAGATGGGTTACCCCAAACACACCCAGGTCCAGATTCTGCCCGAGTCTGGAGAGACTCCGCTCTTCAAACAGTTCTTTAAAAACTGGAGAGACCGGGACCAGACGGTGGGACTGGGCGTGGCCTACATCGCCAACAGCATCGCCAAGATCGAGAAGGTTCCTTTCGACGCTGCCACTCTGCACGAGTCTGCAGCCATGGCAGCACAGCATGGAATGGTGGACGACGGCAGCGGAGAGAAACAGGTAAGGGGGTCTGGGATAAATGACCGGAATAGTGCCCTCTGGTGGAACTCTTTGTAAATGAATTCAGCCCAAACCTTAAGATTAGAAAAAGGTATATGTTACCTGTGTTTTTTTTAAACAGATCTGGAGAATCGAGGGCTCAGACAAAGTTCTTGTGGATCCTTCAACCTACGGAGAGTTTTATGGAGGAGACAGTTACATCATCCTGTACAACTACCACCATGGAGGACGCCAAGGACACATCATCTACATGTGGTGAGGAGACGTCAGAGGAGGAGACATAGATTTCCACACAGGGAGACATAAACACAGCGGGGGAGA